TTTTTGGATATATAACTAAAAAAGACCAACCTAGAGCCTTTGAAAAATTAATAAAATACAGAGAATATCTAGAACAATTTGAAAGATTAAATAAGTTTTATATTCATCCTGATTAATAAATCAAGAAATAAGAAATAATCTTGAAAGACCAAACAATTAAAAGATAAAGGATATATCCTGCAAATATAAAGAAGAAGGGTAAAATAGTATTTTTAAAGACTTAATTTTATATTATTAAAAATCTTTGTGAGTGTCTGTAAGACATCTGTAAAATAGTTGTCTGTAAGAGTAGCATGATCCAAAAACTTTTGACCTTACTCTACTGTCCAGCAAAGAATAACATGTCTTTACATAAAAATTGCTTGAAAATAAATCTAACTAACTTTAATAATAGTAATAAAGGTCTTTCCAAAGACAAAATTACTACCAGAAATTGTCTGAAGGTCTTTTATTGCCACAGATTTAGTCAAATGTCTGAAAAGATGTTGGAAAAGCGCAAGTCTGTCTTTCTTTCAACTTACGGTATGAATGTGCATAGTTTCTCCATTACTGGATGAAAGTACTTTAAATAGCAGAATAACATATGGCAGAACCAACTGTATAAGCTTAGAAGGATCGAATGTCGTCTTGTTTCAAGTATCCAAGGCCGTCGTTTTACAGATGGGACACAGATTCTTCAACGTCAACCACTGTTTAATGCACTTGGTGTGGAACTTGTGCCTGCAGTCCAATATCCCGATATCATCTCCAGCGATGTAATCCTCCTGATCAAATTGAGGGAAAACCGAATTTTAAATCTAGGTCTAGTATGATGAATATGGAACGCGAAATGGGGGTGGGGGCAGAGGGATGCCGCCAGTGGTGATGGGGGAGGGGTTGGTGAACTTTTACCTGACATATACAGCACGGCTCCAAATTTGGCGGGGATCCAAATGGTTCACACTTCCGCTGTCCCATAGAACGCAAAATCTTTTCCTCACTCAATCCCGTGCTTACATTCCCTATTCGTTCTTCCAAAGCCAATAGTTCCTGATATACAAGTTCGTGAAGATTTAGAATGACAATCTGTTAAAAGTTTTTCTTCCCTTTGATAGAAACCGTGAAAGAAAAATCCGATGAAGAAATGGACAAACTTACCTCGTAAGACATATTGTCAACATCGAGCCTCATATCTCTATGCCTGTCGTGCATCTCAGCAAATCCATTTATAAAAGGGTCAAATAGCATATAATCCTGATAAGAAAGTATGACATATCAGTATCATCAGTCTTCCACCAAATATAAACTAGAAATAATAAAAATCTAAAAGCATGTTTGGCTAAGCTTAAAATGTTTACTTCTAAGTAATAAGTTTCAAAATAATTAAGTTTTTTTCGCTGGTCAAAGTTGAAAATAAGTTATTTATTATAAGAGTAAGGTCAAGATTACTCTACTATTAACTTTTTTTTTTTTTTTTTGATAATCGTGGATGTCCAGGCCAGCTAGAGCGCACCTCGACTAATCCCACGGAACCCTGAAGTTTACGGCAACTTTCTTATATGAAAGTAATAAAAAAGTAACACGTCCAAACATATTTGGAAGCGAACTTTTACTTTTTGTTAAGCTTAGCCAAACATCTCATTGGTCCTGATTCTGAATGTCAGTGCATTTCTCCTCAACAGCCTAAAATCACACAAATATAAAACGTGTCTTGCCCATTTTAGCCATTGAATTTGCATTGCAAATATACTTCAACTTGTCGCAGAGTGTTATCTCAATATATTAATAACAATTCATTAATCATCATAGAAATCTAAAGCAAACCTCAGCTCTTAAGTGGACGCCCCTCCGCATTGCATGCAAGAAATGGCGTATCTGTTACACCAAAGTAGGATTAATCAAAACGGTACCCTTCTTCACTGCTTACAGTTTTTCACTTCTTTCTTTTAACAAAAGAATAAAAGTTTTCCATACATTAAATCCATCCTTTTGCATTCATGTATGACGGCATCTAAAGAACACTAAAATTAAAAAAACATATCACAGAAGTTTAACAACATTTGGAAATCAAAAGCAATCCACACTTGTAAAGCTGCATCAACGTGCTCTTATTTTCTTAGTAAATGTCTTATATATCAATGAATATCACTAAACTGGGGACTAGAATAATGAGCATATTTGGCTATGCTAAAAAATTAGTAGAGTTATATTCTTACTAACAAAACTTACTTTCTTAGAAAGAAAAGAAAAGTAGCATTTGATCTTAGGCAAACATGCTCACTATTCACTAAGAAGGCATGAAACCTGCACTACAGAAAGTGCAAGTGCGATAAACTTAATAGTACCAAAACATAGATATGCACAGCCATGAACATGCAGTTCTTACTTATTGGATATGTACAAAAGGCTCTCCATAACTAAGGTTTTTATTATTTGAATTTCTAGAAGTCCCAAAACTACACCTTAGAAAATGGTACTAATTATAAAATGTTGCATTCACAAATTAACTTGCAAGATATTAAGCATCTGTTACAATTCCACGAACTCCAAAGTGAGTTACGCTTGCTCATATTACTAAGAAAGGAAGTTCTTACACTTAACATAATCAAGTGATTATAGCGATAAGCAGTCAACCCCTTGTTCTACATGTAAGAAGCTTTTTAGATAACACTAACAATAGACACAAGCAAAAACAAACAAACAAATAAATTAAATATTCTTTATTTTATTAATATGCATTATTTCAAAACATTTGCAATTTCAGTCAAACACTCAGCTTGGAGTAGAACAGGTATGTGACAATGTGGTATGCAACATCTGTTTCTCAAGCCTTGGATAAAGCACACAAATCTGGAATGGCAGAAAACACCCCCTTGGAGAACATCATGCAATAAGCCCGAAAGAGAACCATTAAACACGAGAAAGGACTACTTTTCTCTCTGCTCTACAAATGATATATAAACCCACACTTCTCCTTCAAGTAGCAATGAACCTTCAAAATAAACTCTTGCCAGTGATTACAGTCAAGTGTTACAAGTTCAAGAAGACAATCCAATGTGTGAGGAACCTAGGGTTCAGGGTATTAGGTTCTTTAAATTGTAAACCCTCTCCTGATTTATAGCATGATAGGCTAAGCTTAGGAGTCAAACTTGCTTCAAGTAAATTTTTCAAGATTGAGGAAAAATAGTTACTTATTTTTACAATAAGGATTACTTTCCAAAAGAAGTAATTTCCAACTTAGACCAACAAAATATACTTATTTTAAAACTTGATTATGTAAAGTTTTTAAGCTGAGCCAAACATGGACTTGAGCTTTTAAATCAGGATAGGCAGGCTTTCTAGATCCATAAAATGAGTAAGAAGATTCAATTTTCGGAGCAAGGTTCTGGGGATTGACCTTTATTGGGGAGGGGGGGTGTAATTGGAAAGTAAATTTTTCAAGATTTCAACTACTTAAGAATGATAAGCTTCAAGATTATCAGTTTTTCACAAAGATACCATGTTATGCTAATATAACACACAGTTGTAAAACAACAGAACAACTTTGACGGCTTTATATTTTCATTGCATTCGGATTGTGAGCTGGCAATGAAGAAGGCAAATCTGTACGAATTCGTTAAACAAAATGTGTTGAATAACAAAAGGATCTAGTGTGATACCATTTGCTTACAAAAGTAAAGTATCAGAAGTCAAAGGATACGATGCATGGCCACATGTTGATGAAAATAGTGCCTTTTTTTAGGGAGATGCTGACCGGTGTGGAATTATTTATTTGGAGAATGATTGGTTGGGAATCTTTTTGTGATACTTTTGCAATCGATCAGCATTTGATCATGAAAGTAATGACGAAAGAGCACTAGAATATACTAATGAGAATTGTACGGAGAAGCTAATCAACATACAACCTTGACATATGAAGCAATTATAGCAAAGGTAAATAGGCAGGCAGGCAAGAAGTTTGAAAGACATAAAAATAATATTTGAAAGTTGGAACTCATTTAAAATGGCTTCCTGAAAGGAGTAAGAAAGAACAGAAGAGAGAAAACCAATGTATAACTCCGAAATGCAGTCAAGCACATAGAGGAATTGTGACAAAAGAGGAAAAGTCTAGGAAGAACCGACACTCTCGTGGCCATTGCAGATACGCCAGGTGGAGTGTTCCAATTATTTTTTGGTTTTGTACAGTTGGCCACGTTGCCTACATGTCAAGACATATATTGCTGACACGCCAAGAATACATTGCCAACAAGTTGTCAATGCATTATCGATACATCGACATTAACAAAAAAAATTTACTTTACACTATAAGAAAAAAATTAAAAATTAAATAACATCAATATTACTCTAATCGGCATGTTGGAAACGTGTCAGTCGTGTCAGTAAATTTGTTGAAAAAATATGTGTCGCCGTGTCCATGTCCTTTCATATCCCACACTCATGTCCATGTCGGTGCTTCCTAAGGAAAAATCTTAGAAAGACCTTCAAAATCTCTTCTATACAAAATTCAAAGAATATATTAATTATTTAAAAACTCACACAGTAGAAATTATAATTTTGGCAAAGAAAAGATTTTTATTTAGTATTAATTGAAAATTTTCAACTTATAACTTCCATTGAGGATTTATTTATTATATTAGGGCATTTAGTGTTCATACTGATGCTAATTGACATTGTCAGGCTAGTAAGATAACTACTTCAGGTTTTTAACACAATGTAGTCTCTTGGGCTTTTTAGATAGACGAAATACATTATGAGATTTAGTACTTTCCCCAAAAATAAACAAGCATAAATCACACATACAAAAGTACACACACAAATTAAACACTACATAAGCACTAGCCCCCAAAATGTAATTGTCATATAAAGTACGCAAACTCATACCAGTATTCGTCTCCCATCATTATCAGCAGCTAAAGCATGCCAACAACTAATATCACCACCCGGAACTGCCATCAAGAATGCTGACCTTTGATCTGTTTGGTTGCGAACCTGGCTACTAGTTGCTTCAGAGGCTGAAGACATGGCCGATAAATGACTTCTTCGAATTCCAGAATCAGACTCAACAAATGGGGAGGGAGCCCAGGGGCCAAATTCTACTGATCTTTGCTGATTTTGGGTTGTTGGATTCTGATGAGGCGTCCAGGTTGGAGGAAAAGTTTGCACACTAGAACTGGAGCCAATCCAAGAACCAGAAGAATGATTTCTAGAAGATCCGGAAGTTCTAGGAACAAAACTCCAATCAATTTGGTCTTGCAGCATATTTCTTGTCTCTGGAGTAGAAACAAACAAGGGATAATCAGCATTGTTTCTGAGAGAGTTTCTAAAACTAACATCTTCATTCACAGCAGAACTTCTTTGTCCAGTGAGCATTAAAGAACTAGCTGAGCTGCCACTTCGTGAATTGGGAGATCCATTCCAAGGAAATGGAAGTGTATGTCTCGCCTCAGACATATGTGTTGTATGAGATTGGTAGACCGGATTGCTTGGATTTACTGGAAAAGAAAATGGTGATCTAACTTCTGAAGAATCAATATTTGAGATAGGTCTCGAGGGTTGTTGTGCTGCATAAACACTAGAATGCCTTACATCAGAGCATATGGGTGTATCAAATGACACGGACTGGTGTCCAAGATTTGATCTCACGCCAAAACTTCTAGCCGGGCTTTCTCTAATTCCTGGAACACTTAAAGAGGAATGAATTCCAGAGGCTACTCTATTCAATCCAACCCCACTCCTGGGATTTATTTGTTCAGAATGACTAGCTTTAGTTAAGTTGCCAGGGTCTGATGATATACTTAAAGTTCCAGGTGAGGTATAACGAAAAGGAACAGAGTGCTGTATTATGTTCTCCATTGGTTGACTGGTGCTTGAGCTTCCACCTGGGCAAAATTGTCGAGAAGTACCTTCAAGAGCCTTTCTCTTACAGGATAAATCCCAAGTATCCAAAGATGGACCTGGGGTGTCGTCATTTTCCAATAAAATACCAGAAGTTCCTCTAGTATTGGAAGAAGCATAAAAACTAGGAATCTGCCGTGACTCTGATTGACCAAACTTGTAAAAAGTTGGGGATTCGCCTGCTCCTATACCTCTCTGGTTATCATTCTCACCAGCGTGCCCATAATTCATATTCTCAATCAGTGAACCAAGATTTGAACCATAATTTTGCATACTTAGGAATCTGCCAGTTGCCTGGTTGCCTCCATAACCAGCACTGATGACGTTAGAAGATTCAAAAGACCAATCTTCTGTTCTTGCATCTGTACCAGAAAAAGAATTGAAAGAGGACGACCAACCATGTCTCGTTCTCGAAACATCGCTGTGGACATCGTGGTGCAGATTATTTGCTAAGGAACTGGATTCACCTACATCCCAGCCACAGACACTCGGGGTATGACTGTTAACGGCATTTATGCAACTAATATTTCCCTCACTGGAGGAAAGCATGTAATTTGGCAATTGGCTCTCAACTGGATTTAATAAGTTGTCCCAAGAAGCTGAACGATCCACAGTATCATCATTAGAGAAAGACCCTTGGTTAAGATCAATTGTATCAGGAAAGGAATCCAGGACCCTTTCCCTTTGCAACCGGGACATAGATGCGTACTTGAGAATAAATTGAGATCAGAAGGTGCAAATCAGTTCTGGGGTAGATCTGCAGAAAGAAGAGACCTGTCACTCTTTGAATAACTGCAAGTACAAGATAATTCACTAATTCAGATATGATACGTAAACTTTTTTTCTCCAAAAACAAGGATTAAGACTCTCAATACTCTTTGCTTTTAGCATTCCTACACAAACTAATGGCAGTGTTCATTTCGCCTATCTAACAAGTTTAAACAAAACGACATCACATCTCATTTTTGCATCAGAATCCAAAATTAACATCAAAGAATGCAACTTCATGAGATATGAGTCCTCGAAGCAAGTCAAATAAAGCAATGGGTTTATAATTACACTGTTTTTCGATAACTGCTCTAACACAACTTATGTTAATTTATTCATCAAAAATACTATGAAAGAGCACCCATTAATACCACTTGAAAAACTACTATGAATCCAATGGGCTCCACAATCATATTATAACTAACTAATTCATATCTCTGGTTATTTCAAATTCAGTTCACGGACACCTAAAATGATATGATAATCCCTATTGTGAGGCCAAAAAACAACTCTAAAAATTAAAATTTGACAAAAGGAGTAGTTGCAATTTGTTAGAACTGACAGCATGTAACTACACAGATTGAACTAAATATATAAAAGTTTCAAAATTTTCAGAATTGAATATGGAAAGTTAAATAATCACAACAGACATTTTTGGATAAAGTACGAACAAAGTGCGCATGAAAATGGAAAATGAATATTAGTAATCCAGGAAGAAGATGAAGATTGTAACTTTGTGAAAATCGCCAAAGCTTACTCCTTTGACCTACGAATTCATCATTAAATAACACATAAAAGTTAAAAACTTAGATCATAGAAACTCAAAAATTTAAGGATCACATTACATATCCTACAAAATTAATAATAAACTCGCACCCAAAATTTATTAATTTTTAGGTGAATAAAGAAAACGAAATTAACAGATCCCTGTTTCCACGTTCAACCTCAAAAAAAAAAAAAAAAAAAAAANTCACCGAAAAGAGAAATTCGTGTAATTTTAGCAGAATAAAAGTAAAAACAAACTGATCATCAAGAAAAATGGAAAAACAATCAGATAGATCGAGAGAAAAACCAGAATAAAGGAAGAGGTAGATGAAAGGAGCGATCTTTATTCTTTTTTTTTTTTTCTTTTTTTTTGTGGTTTGTAATTTTAATGGAATCTGTTGGTAAAAAACAAGAGGTTTTTCTTCCCAGCTATTCTATTGCCCTCTTTGCATATACTATTTCTTTATGAAAGAGAAGCCCTCGAGAAGACAAAGCAAAGGGGCGCGCGCTATGGAAATACAATGGACGAAAGAGTGAGGATGAGGCCGAGGTGGGGTGAGTGTGGGGGTGGCGGACAGAGATACCGTTTATTTCAAAGGATTGTTTGGGTAATTTTAAGGAACAAACCAGGATCGTATAAGATTTGGAATTTTCTATTTGTGTGGTTTTTGGGAATGTAAAAAGGTATGTCTAGCTCCAGTTTGGTTCCATTATTTAAAATTATAATTTTTGAAATAATATTTTTCTAGAAAACGCATGATTCAAAAAGAAGAAAAAATTTATTTTATTTACTTGTAATATTTATTTTATGAAAGATTTTATGATTAAAAATAAAAGAGAAGAATAATTTTTTTGGAATAGTGTGGCCAAGGGTTGTTTGGATTTTATTTTTTACTTTTTCTTTCTTTAAGAAAATTACTTATTTATAAAGATATCGCTTATTTTATCAATGGGGCAAATTAGGGCTAGTTTCATCAACCTTTCAGATAGTGTGGTTACGACTCTCCTAACCTAAGACTGAGATATTGAATATGCAGGCTATTTGAATCTCATATAGTATGTTAACCTCGCACGCGATCAATTTAAATAGGTTGAGGAGTGAAACCCTTAGAAAACTTAGAGAACCTAGTTTTAATTTATTGAAATAAGTAATTTATTTTATTTTCGAATTTCATTAATAATACGTGATTTGTTTTAAACAAACATACTTGTGTGCAATAATGATAATGTAACAGCATATTGAGATTTTAAACTTTTTTTTTTTTTTTTGATAAACAAAGCACATTTCATTAAAACAACTTTAAGAGAGTTACATCAATGCATCATGCTCAATAACGTGTGAAACAAAGTCTAGAGGATCATTCCACAACACTACCAGGTCATTGAGATGCCATGAATTCATAGCTAGACAATGTGCAGCTGAGTTAAATTTGCGACTTTCATGCCTTACATCAATATTCGGGAATCTATTCACTAACTGCTGAATCTCATGTATCTAGTTCCCCCAAAGGGATAGAGATTCATCATGTACTTTTGTCACGTCTTGGACCACCAACAACGAATCACTTACTACTTGTAAATTCTGGATGGACAAAGGTAAGTAAATCTGTAAACCTCTTAGCATCGCTAGAAGTTCTGCTTCTGTTGGGTCCATACTACCCTTTTCTGGTTTACTTGCCGAGAAAATCATCTTACATGTTGCATCCCGGATAACCATCTCAGTCTCATATCTGCATTGATCCTCAAATAATGCCCCATCAACATTAAGCTTTAGGACCCCTTTCGGTGGAGGACTCCACCCTTCTCTGCTATGGGTCCCTTGCTGTTTCTGCTTCTGTGCACATTTAAATTCACCAGCAATTGTTAGGACATGATCAATAGTCATCCGTGGAGTAAATATCTTGTGTTCAAAAATGAACTGGTTCCTGCTATACCACATTCCCCACAGGCATAAGAATAGTTCTTGTAGCTCACTAGGAAAGTTCTTGCTTATTACTAGATTTACTATATGTGCAATGTCCCGTTGCTCAGATTTTGAACTTTTTTTATTAGTTCTTGTTCAAGATGATTTTTTTTTTAAATGAAAATTGAGTTTGATAGTATTGCTTAACATCCGAAATATCAAATATTTTAACCTTATTCTTTTATGGACTATATCAAAAATTATACAGATAATTTTGTAGCATTTATTTGCACATAGTTTTTTTTTTATTATTATTATTCCAAAGACCCGAAAAGAAAAAACGAAGAATCCACTTCAAAGTTGCAAAAAAATCAGTTCAAATTGTTTATTATCTAAGTATGATAAAACTAAATCATGGAAGATTAACTTTAATATATATTTTACATTAAAAATCAATGATAAGCCTATGAATTTATGTATATAATATAGATTCAAAAAAGAATCACTTTAGACAATAACTGTGTGTTTAATTGCATTTTTTTTTTTATGAAAAATATCAGTTTTCCACCCAAATTCCTACTTTAAAGTATTTGATTACTAATTTTTCCAATGAAAATATTTTTCAACTTTTGAAAATAAGAGTAATTTTTGTTTTTAAGGAAAATATTTCCTTTTAATATTATAAATGCATTTTATTTATGGCAAGATCTATTATTTATTTGAATTATTATTCTAATAAATCATACTAAATAGAGTCCGAAAATTCAAGTCTCAATAACTTGTTAATTACAAGAAATTAAGATAATGATAAACAAATTACACATGACCGAATCTTAAATTATCTGTCGTTGTAAGTAATGACGAGATACGAATATCGTTATTACAGATAAATCATCACGTATAGCATTTCGCATTTGTGAAGTGAGTAGTTGATCTCACAATCTAAAATATAATGATATTTAAATGGATGCATGAATGTTTTGTTATAAGAACAAAACATTGGAGTCCGCTAGAGGTGGAGTCCGCATGGATTTTTATCTAAGTGTCGATGGTTAATCTCTAACGTTCGATAGTGGAATTGGTCTTTCGACTTGAGATCATCATAGTGCCTACTTGAGGATTATCATATTTTGGTGATGTTGGATGTTACTCTACCAATAGTTGCTAATATGACATCGTCCAGATATGTCAAGAATCATATGAGGGTTGTGAATGATTAATAGAAGATTTGTCACTCTTAAATAATAAGATATTATGATCTACATTTTTATTCAATTAAGTTGAAAAAGAAAATCCTTGATCAATGTGTGTTCATAAATCAAAAAAGTTTTCGACTTAAATTGATTTAAGAGTAAGATGAAAGATAGGATCGATAACCAAGATTGATACACTTTCATATATGGTAATTGATCGAATCATATTGACGAAGTGATTATAGTTTCACGATAAATGAACAACTTTAATTTTGTCATACCACGTGACACTTCTCGTCATATATATTAGTCTGGCACATTACTCTATATCATTTGGGACGAATAATGTGGATTAATTAATTTAGATGAATTAATGATAAATTAAGAGAACATTTTAATTGATTTTATTTTGATTAGATCAAAATAATAATTCACGTTATTAAGTATCGCGATCGAGAACATAATAAGTCACACATAATAAGGGGAACTAGAAGAATAATATTACTAATTAATTGATTAACAAGTGTTGGATATTTGTAGAATTGATTAATGAAAAAATTACTTTGAAACCTACAATTAAAAACTAATCATCATAAATCTGGGGAATTAGTTTAAAATTCACATATCAGGTGATAATTAGATTTTAATAAAAATTTAATTAAACATAATCTATTTCATCCCTACCCTACCCTACCATACTGAATTTTGAAATAATTTGACAAATTTGTTAGTTTTGAGATGTAATACTTATAGTGTAGTAGTTATGTATAACAACCTTAATTAATTGGGTTGCCTATTAATGAGCCTAAGTTAAGTAATTAGATTAATTAGTTTATGGATCAAGTTTAATTAATCGGGTCAAGTTTAATGGACATATCAAACTAAGGATATCAAATCGGGCCGCCAACTTGTGAAAAGCCCGAGTAGACTCGGCTCGCGGATCTACGAACCCGAGACTGAGCCGACTAGTATGACTCGTCGGTACTGTAGCTGCCTGGTTGCCTACACAGCTATTGTAGCTACACGAATAAATTGGAAAAAAAAAAAAAAGTCGACTCAGCTCCTGAGCTAAAAGTTCGAGCTAAGCAACGAATTTTCGGCCTTGCGCCAAAAATAAAACTCTAACCAATTTTTTGTCTACATCCTTAGACCAAGACCATTTGAACTTTTATTTATAAGTTGTTAAGGTTTGAGAAATCATTATATACATTCATAATCTTGCTAGCACGAGAAAAAAGAAATTGTATTCTCTCATTCACGATCTCTTGTTCAGATTATCATTGGATGCTAGATAATTGAAAAGTGGTATGCAAATCATGATTATACGTGTTCCAAGGTTGTCAAAGGAACTTCACAAAATTAAATAAAGTTATAATTCTTGTTACAAATTCTATCTAAATACATAGAAGATCGTTGGTGGGAAGTGACATTGTTTTAAGTTTCTGTTTGGTCCGAATTAAAATCTGATTTTAATCCAAATCAAAGTCAAACAATCAATATAAACCACATCTTTCATGGGTCCCACAACTTTTCAACCACTCATTTCAAAAACTTCTATCACAATCTACTAAAAATCTAATTTTAATCCCCACCAAACACCCTCTAAATTTTGTTTTACACGATTAAATAAATTTCCAAGAGTTATTGTTGTCAACTTCGTTTAAATCATTAATAATTAGTTTCATAAAGTAAAAAGAAATTTGGCTCAACATTACAATTACAGTAAAAGATGAAAAATTAGGTAAATGTATTATGCCCTTGATTGGTTTTGATAAAAAATGAATTTGTAGTAATTTTTTATAAATGTTAATAAAATGCGTGGTTGAAAAGTTAATAAAAATTGAAAAATGAGTTTTAAGAAATGAGAATCAAACATAGACTAATTTCAAAAATCCTAAATCAAAACCTCCCACTCTCTCGCTCTATCCTAGCCCACCGTCCCACCTCCCCAACTTTCTCTCTACATCAGCACGAATCAATGTTAGCCCCTGTTTGTGATCCATTATTTTCAAAATATTTTTTCCAAAACTCTTTTTCAACCACACATTTTTATAATATTACACGTAAATTCAAGACTTATTATTTTTTAACCACGCGTTCTCCAAAAAATCATTATTCCAAAATACATTTTCTCTCAGATCACATTAAAATGGAGTCTAAATAAGGGCTTAATCTCCTCATTGGATCTATCGGACGACCAACTTGACCATGTTCATCATTGTCAACGACTTCGATGGTTCTAAAGGGTGGGTTTTTGTCATGATGGTATGGTTTTTGGTGGTGATGGTTGTGTGTTTGAATAAAATTCTCAAGTCGTGGTGGTGCCAACACATGGCATAGACAAGTGCTACTACCCACTTGGTCGAAGTTGAGATGAAGTTAGAAGGCTAAGATGAACCGTGTTTAGGTTCGAAACTCGATTCTTGATGTTGCAATTTTGTACCTAAAGGCCGATAAATTTGTGGTGTAGGTGCTTTCTTAGAAATCCGTCGATGGCGTGTCCTCAGTTCCATCTTGTTCCCTCCTTCTTAAAGGTAGTGGTAGCAGGTTTCAGGGTTTTGTTTGGCGGTGGTTGGTGGTGCGACCAAGCGCGTAGGGAGAGGGGGGTTGGGAGGTGTGTTGTGCTGTGCGGTGTGGTGTGGTGTGGTGGAGGTGATGGTTGTTGGAGGTCACGGTGAGTTGGTGTTGGTGTGGGCAACTGTGGTGGTAGAGGTGGTGCTGGCGTGGGTTCATGTCTGTTTATGGGCGACTGATTTGTTGCTGAAAATGGTGGTGGTGGAGGCGGTGACTGGTGGCAGTGGAGGGGAGGTGTGTTGTGTTGTGTTGTGCTGTGCGGTGTGGTGGTGGGAACGGAGATCAGATCTGTTGTTGGTGGGGATGGCGACGTTGGTGGTGTGTGACCAAATATTTAATCTATGACCTAAAAATTTTGACAATGTGACTGAAAAATAATCTGTGACCAACAAATGTGACTCAAAAATAATCTGTGACCAACTAATTTAAAAATCTGTGACCTCAAAATAATCTGTGACGTACAAATTTTTGGATCTGTGACCTCAAAATAATCTGTGACCAAAAAATTTGACGATATGTGACCAGTAAATAAATTCGTGACTTATAACTATGAATATGTGACCATTAATCACAAAAATGTGACTTTATTATCTTTATTTAATAAAAATAAAAATAAAACCTGATTTTTGAATTTTTAAACTATAAACCTGATTTTTGAATTTAGAAACTTAAACACCTTATTTTTTATTTTTTCCCTTATAAAGGGGTGGTGAGCTAGGCATATAACACGAGTCAAGCTTGAGCTCAGCTCATTAGCCCATAAGTGGGTTTGGCCCATCAAGCTCGAGCCCACCCGCATGCGAGTTCTTTCGGGCCTTGGAATTGGTTACCTGTAGCCTTTAGGGTGTACTTGATTGTAAGTATGAAACTTATATGAAAAGAAAATAAAATTTAGATACTTATTTGTATGTAAATTATTAATTAAACACTAGTTTGAGTCCCATTTTTTCAAAATTCATTTTTTTTTCATACCTCATTCTTAACCATACATTATTTCAATAAAATAATTTTACACGTAAATCTAAAAATATCTTTTAATCACATATTCTCCAAAAAATCATCATTCCAAAATTTATTAACCCCAAAAATGGAGCTCAAACAAGGTCTAATGTGTTTAATAAGTTTGATTTTCAACCTAGAAAATATTGTATTTGTCCATCTTTTATCGGTAGGTAGATAAAAGAGTGAATTGTTTAGAAAATAAAAATTCACAACTCCCTAAAGAAAATGTTTTCCTTGTTTTTTGAGGAAAATATAGTCACGTGCCAACTTTTAGAAAATATTTTTCATGAAATAAAATGTCTGTCAATCAAACACTTTAAAAGTAGAAAATTAATTAAAAAATGATATTTTTTTCATGAAAAATAAAACCAATCAAACACACTTTTAATGTAAGAAAAGTTAAAATGCAAACAAAAAATATTACATGTACAATATTTTTTTAACAAATATAAAATAAAGAAAGGTAATTACTTGTGAATACGTGTTGGTAAGCTTCAGCCATTGAGTTGTAAGCTTTATCTTGCACTCAGTGCGCCTCTTGTCTGTCCTTCAAAAAATTTGGATAATTAGCACATAATATCATTACCTTTCATTATTATTATGAAAAACGTCATTACCTTTCATTTTTTTTTTTATATTTTCACCCTTATTTTCACATTTAATTGTGCAAAATGTCATTTTTATCAATTTTCTCAATTAAAAATTGTGAAATAATGAATATACTATTCTCTTTAAATAAAATAAAAAATAATAATAATTGCAATCATAGTCCCAATTTTTTTTTTTAAAAAAGCACAAATGAGTCACAAATAAATTATTAAAAAGATAATTAGCACATAATGTTCTTATATTTCACTACTATTGCGAAAAAAGAAAAACGTTACTATCTTTTATTTTTTTGATATTTTCACCCTTAATTACACATTTGATTGCGCAAACCATCATTTCTATACATTTTCATCAAATTTCTCAAAAAAAGGTGAAATGACGACTATACCATCATATTTAAATAAAAAAATTAAAGAATTAATTACAATCATAGTCCCAATTTAAAAAAAAAATGCAAACGAGTCTCAAAAAAACTATTTAAAAAAATTAGATATTAAAATTTTTTAAAAGTGCAAACGGGTCCCAATTAAATTTATTTAAAAAATTAAAAAGTGCAAATGAGTCCCAGATAAGTTATTAAAAAATTAGAAGTTAAAAAAAAAAAAAGTTTTCTTTAAGAAGTTAAAAATTTAGGTTTGGATTTCAAGGAAAATTACCGGTTTTGCCACTTAACCGCTTAAGAAAAAGTGGCTTTTCAAGGCCCCCATGGACATGGCACAATGGTAAGGCAGGAGAATTCTCTACGAAGTATTGAAAGTTCGAATCTCCGCGGCAATTGGAAGAAAACATTTATGTTGAAATGCAACATCTATGTTGGAAGGCAAATGTTCACAGGGAGGAGAATCGTCGAATGTCCAGCTCAAGTGTGTATAACATGTGATCACATCTGAATTAACATGGGTGGCGAATCAGCCAATCAGGGGGGAAGACTGTCACTCCTCAGGATTAGTCAGATGAAACTTGGACATTTGAGTCATAAAAAAAAGTGGCTTTTCTAGTTTTCTTGAAGCTTAAGAGGGGTTTGGCAATGGTAGTTTGGCACCACAAACAAATCTGTAGATTGAGGAAGACAAGTGGATTTGCAATGCTTCTTTCTCAATCTTTTAGGTCATGTTTGGTGATTAGGGTTGGTGATTATTGGTGGTTGAAGGTCGTCGGCATGGGTATGGTTGAGGTGGGGAAGAAGGTGAGTGGGTGGGTGGAAAATAAAGTTTCGAAAATTTAGGATTGTATGTGGCACTCATAAAAATTTGATTATAATTTGTAAAAAAATTGTATCTGCAGTTGTAATTATTCATTTTTAATGATTTAAACCTACGAAATTGGACGGTAGAAGGTTTCTGCACCTAAAAGATTGTATTCAGCATCGAAGATTTCAAACATGGACCTTTATGATATTTCCAAAAGGTAGGGGTTTTCCACACAACGTCAAATAGGTAGGGAGATTTTCTGCTATTAAACCTTTCAACTTATATATTAATGAACAAAGATTCTTCCTAATTTTTCGTCAAAGTTCTCCGCTTTCAATTTCGTGGATTTGAGATTTAATTATTTTTATTTTTATCACCAATTTTTTTGTTGATCATTTATAAAGTTCTTGATTTTTTAATAAAAAAACTTTTTATTGTATGTTTTAAGCTAGTAATTGACTTGTTAGTTGCTAATTTGTTGTTAAAACTTTTATTTTAATTTTTTGCTCGTTTTAAGTAATATTCATTTATAATCCGATTCACAAGATCCTTCCATCAATTTGATCCAAAACTACGATTTCGACAACCGTGCCAAGAAACCCCTGCTTGAGTCCCATTTTTTCAAAACTCATTTTCAACCATACATTCTTTCATAAAATAATTATACAGATATTTCAAAAATATTTTCTTACATTTTAACCATATATTTTCCAAAAAATTACTATTCCATAATATATTTTACCCCGAAAATCTAGACAAGCTCTATAGATGTCAAAAGAATTAGAAAAACTATGCCAGAACCACTTGAGCAATATAAAAATGCCATTCATTAGAAAGTCAAACAAAACATTAATAACAGCAATATAATATGAATGTTAAGTCTCCTTGATTGTCCAATTGTCTTCCAAAAGAACCTGAAAAGAAACATAAATATAAAATATCATAAGCTAAAGCAAGTAATAATAATGTCAAAAGTATAAACACAGGCTTTTCCTATTTTTAACCTCACGTCCTCCAAAATACAATTTCTTACAAAATATGTTATTAAATAGGTATTTCTTACAAAATATGTTATTAAATTTTACGTCAAACCGGACTAAGTAAATTAACTTTAAAAAAAATGAAATAATTAAACACTACTTTTCTTGATTTTCACCAAAATCAAATTAGTCATTGTTTGGTGTAGATTAAAATCAATTTTTTAATAAATTTTGATAAAAATAATAAAAAGTATTGTTGAAAGGTTACGAATCCTGCAAGGTTAAATATATTCGGACAATAGTTTTTAATAACTAAACTATATTTTAATTGCACAAAAGGTTCATAATCTTTATATATTATGCATTTATGTCTCAAACTTTTTTTATCGCATTCTTATTTTTTAATTAACATAAATTGTTCCTAATCGTGGATTCTTTCAAAAAAAAAAATTAAAATAAAGTGGAAAAAAATCAGTTTTATTTTTAAATAAGTAAAATAAATAATAATGCAAAAATATGAATAAATGTTTGATTCTAACTTTAAATCACGTAAACAATATTTTTGAATGAAAATCATGAATAAAACAATATTTTCTAATTAATGAAATGTTAAAAATAAAAATGCGAGGAAGAAAAAAGTTATGGATATAAGTATGATTGATAATGGATAAAAGTTAATAATCTTTAACGTAATTAAAGTATAGCGTGTTTATAAAAATGTGCGGTTTGAATATAACCACATATTCCATGAAATGTATAGTTAAAATTATTTGTTAACTTTAACTAGAAAATTTAATTCGATTTTAAATCAAAACATGTTTATCATTGTTTACATTTCATATGAAATTAATGTTATCTATCTTTAGTGTTGATCGTCTCAATGTGATGTGACGTTAAATGATAAAATAAATGAAATGTCCAATGTTCACATATTTAATTGATCTTATCATTTCATCAAAGATGACAAAAATGCGACCCTAATAAAATGAGTCCCCACCCCACCATATCATATGAGACGAATAAATAAAATTACTCTCCATATCATTATAATGATATGAAATTAAGCCCCATATTTTTACTATCATTATTTCAAAATTCTTTAATTCTTACAATTATCTTTAATCACAAATTTATATAATAAAATATTTTACACGTAAATTTAAAATTCTTTTTTATTTTTTTACTACACATTCTCTTAAAAATCATAATTCAAAACTCAATTTTCTCAAAATAATGATTGCCGAACGAACTGCGCTACTTGTATAATCGAGGTTGACAACCACTCACACATGGGATGGGTGGGTGGGTAATTTTTTATTTTTTTAAACACATTGGGACCCACCTGCGAAATGTTGTCAATCGAGGTTGAGTGTTTCCCTTGTCGAACAGGGGCTAAATAAAAAAATATTGCTAGTTTGCTCCTTTTTATAATGTAAATCACGAGTAGATTACATTGGAAGATTTCTTGATCCTCAGTAAATAGTAAATACAGAAAATTTGTTTATTCTGGAGTGAGCCAAATTGAGCAAGAATAACGTTCACTTTTTTACCTCAAAATAAATAAATAAATCCTTAACAAAATTATCATTTAACTCACGTGGGGTTATAAAACTCCTAAATTCATCATTTGACCAGGTGGTTTATATTCATGGGATGAATTTACACAGAAATCAAGATAGCAATCATGGATTCCGGCGCTCTTGCTGTGTTACTTTCATCTCTAATTTCTCAACTTTTAATTCTCCTCTTCTTGATTTTTCCCTCCTCAAATTCACTTACTTCAATTTCCTCTGCATATTACCCTATAATAGAATCAATTTTTCCTCTCCTCCACCATTTTATCTCCACCTCTGATATCGCAGCCGCCGTTTTCCTCCTTTCGTGTTCGAGAAAACGAAAGCGGACCCATTTCTTGGAACCCGATTCCCCGGAGAAGGAGGATGATGATCCCGCATTCAAACTCGGGAAAATGGGTCGATTTGGAAAAGTTGACTCAGCCATATTCAGAAACCCTGATTTGTTCAAGCAATTCTTCAAAATGAATACCTCGACATTCGAGTGGCTATGTGGGTTACTTGAGCCGTTGCTCGACTGCCGTGACCCGGTTGACTCGCCTTTCAATCTTTCGGCTGAGACCCGCCTCGGAATTGGACTATTCAGACTCGCTACTGGCTCTGATTACCCGGAAATCTCCCGCCGATTCGAAGTCTCCGAAGCCATTTCAAAGTTCTGTGTCAAACAGCTCTGCCGTGTGCTCTGCACCAATTTCCGGTTCTGGGTGGGGCTCCCGAGTAATAACGAGTTAGATTCTGTGTCAACCCAGTTTGAAACCCTCACTGGCCTGCCCAATTGCTGTGGAATCATAAAGTGTGCCAGGTTCAGAATCAAAAGAAACACTGGGTCTGAATCTGACAGAATTAACCCAGATACCCCACAAGAAGAACACATCGCTGTTCAAATTGTTGTGGACTCATCATCAAGAATTGTAAGTATTGTAGCTGGTTTTAGCGGCAATAAGAGTGATTTTCAGGTCCTTAAATCATCAACTTTATATAAAGATATCGAGAAGGGGTTGTTATTGAATTTGTCACAGCCGTTGTATATAAATGATGTGGCTATACCTCAGTATTTTGTTGGAGAAGGAGACTATCCTTTGCTTCCATGGTTATTAGTACCATTTCGTGATCCTGTGGTCGGCTCATATGAAGAGAATTTCAATAATATGCACGGTATGATGTGTGTTTCAGCGTTAAAAACCGTTGCAAGTTTGAGGAACTGGGGTGTTTTGAGGAGGGAAATCAATGCCGAATATAAGGCTGCAGTGGCATATATTGGTGCTTGTTCAATACTTCACAATATGTTGATCACAAGGGAGGATTATTCGGCTTTTTGTGATGAGTCAGGTGATTGGGAAGCGAAAGATCAGAACTTTCAACACTATAAAGATAGTGCTAATTTGGAGGAGAATTCGATAGTAAAGAAGGCGTGTGTAATAAGAAATGCATTGGCTACAAGAGCGAGAGAGAAATCAGGCCATCCAATGGATCCAAGCAGTTCAGCCAATCCATAGGATCATCGAATATTTTAGGAGTCGCCAAAGACCAGAACCAAAACTCTGTTCCTTGATTTGTGAAGGAGGTAACTAAGCATTTTTTAACATACAATTTATTTGTTGATTATTTTGGTGGGCAACTTTACCGTAGGATGTTCAATTTGAGTTGTGAAAAGTGCATGCTTTTGATCATTGAAATGCAGAACACGTGGTTTCTGATTTGGTCCTTATTGTCTCTAGTCTATTGGATAGTACCAGACATTAGATGAGAAAAATAAGCTATAATTTTTACTCATTATATTGTTGAGTCCATACAGTACTCGACTACACATCCACCATAACTTTTAATAGTCTGACCTATTCAGCAATATAGTGGAAGAATTAAAGTTCTCAAGTGTAAAAGTCACGGTTTATCCAAGTGCGGCCATTAGAAGCAAGGGAAAATTAGACAAGGAAAGTTGCCTCATGTTCATTTATAGCTAGAGGAGGAGGATTTGAACATTTTTAGCCTCTATTTGGTGGCCATGACATTATTTTTAGAAAATGGAGTTTTGAATAGTGATTTTTAGGAGAACACGTGGTTAAGAAGTAAGGAAAAATTTTGAGTTTACGTGCAAAATATTTTATTGTGTAAATGTGTAGTTAAAACATAAAAATGAGTGCGAGAATTAAACAGTTTTGAAATAATGGTTGTCAAACAGGGGCTTAATGTTTTGGATAGATGAAATCAGTTATCTCTGTGATCTTTATGTTTTATGGACTAGCATATGGTTAAGAATCAAAATGTTTTGTGAACCTGAATAATTGAAGTTCATCTTATGGATATTAACTATTTTGCGGTAAAAAAGTTCTATTGTTTCATTATTCATAAGCTATGAGCTTGACATGTATGCATTTTTGTTGCTAATTAGACTGTAATTAGAGCTATTGCTAGTTTTTACTAGGGCTTGTTCAATAAATCATCCAAATTAGGTGGACTTTGCTATTTTATTAGATAGAAATGATAAATGTCTGGTGCAACAGACCTCTAAGTCAAGTGTTGTACCCCAGTCCTAGAAGGAAATTTTATTACAGCAATGTTATGACTTGAGTTCACAATTCAAAAGGATGCTTAGATACCGTAGGATGGATTACTTGTCAAGAGAATTTCTTCACGAGTGAATTTTATAACTTAGACGTGGATTACTTTTTCTTTTGGTTTTTATTATGTTTACTTTCAGGTAGAGATTTCAATCGAATGCTATTATTTTGAAATTGAATATGTGAAGAATACTTTTGATTTTTTAGTTTTTTACCCATTTAAGATTGTTATATTCTGAATCACTTTTGCACGTGTGGTTGATGCAGCATATTTTGCTGTAGGAAGCACCCATCCGTCACGTGGAAACTTGAAATAGAAGAGACTTTAAAAATTGAGGAAGAACTTTCAGTTGAAGGCAGTTAGTTGCGTTAGCAGAAACAAGAGATGGGGAAGGGCGAAGAAGAAGAAGTGTGAAAGGGGCGAGTATTATTCCACATTAAACTACATGCATTTTCTCTGGTTCTTATAGTTAGTTAGGTCATTTCTGTCTTTATGAATCATTTTCAAGTGTATATACATTTTGTAGTTATCTTATATAGTGGAAGAAATACAAATACACGTTTAAACAGAAATTGGGGCTCCTGGTTTATATTATCAACATGAAACCTTCGACCTCTGATTCATTATTATTGAATATTGTGCTGTACATCTTGACATCCTCTCAGTATCAGAGCAAATTCTCCATTATAATCAAGATGACGAGCTTCAACTCTCTTTGCCTTTGCCAAGTAGTCCTGCGTCCCTCCTTCTTCATCCATTTCAAGGCGCTAGCGATTGTAGTCATGGTTCTTGTGATTCCCAGCCAAGCTCTAATATGTCCCCAAATCGTTGAACTCATAACACATTGGAAAAATAGGCGTTGGACATATTCAACTGAAGTTCGACAGATACACGCGTTGTCGATGTCCATGTATTGTAGACGGCCTTTAGTGAGAAGTTTACCTTTTATACTAAGCCAAAGGATTAAAGAATGTTTTGGAGTTATACACGAGCTCCAAACGCCCTTTGCCCATCGCATAGTAGCTTCCTTTGGACGGAAATAATGATAAGCCTAGCGGCCTTGTCAGTGCTTATGCTGTCTTTCTAAATCCAATATGAGATTTTTAGGATGACTGCTTGTTATGTTCCCTCAGTTTGCTTCAATAGATATGCAATAGAAGTAAGTTTCTTGATCAATGGTGAATCATCCCTTTTAGGTGAGTATTCCCATATAGCTGCGTTCTTCAAATACACGTGATTGATCTGCCGAACCTAAAGTGTATCTTTTTTTTTTTGCATGAATATTCCAAAGAGATTTGACTGGTAGTGCATTATTCTAGCAATTGATATCTAGAAATCCAAGTCCTCTTGTTTTGAGGAGACAAACATCAATCCTATTAACTAATGATTTTTTAGAGTTCCAAAGGAAGTTTCGACAAAGTCATATGATTCTATCCTTGTCCGTGGCTGGGATTGGAAAAATAGATAACCAAAAACATTCAACTCCTTCCAAGACTACTCTTATCAATGCAGCCCTACCTGCGTATGATAAAGAAGCGATAGTCCATGTATTTATGTACATAGTAATCTTATCCAAAAATGGAGCATGGTGGCTGACTTTCAAATTTCCTGCTACAAACGGTATATCCAAGTATCTGAACGACATAGTGCCCCTTGGCATGTTCACTAAATCTTGGAATTCCTCCAATTCTTACCCGTGAATACCAGTGGTGTATAGGTTGGATTTATTCAAATTCATCCTAAGTCCTAAACAATTACCAAACTTGTATAAATAATGAATTAAAATACGCACGGAAATAACATCGCCGCTTCCAAACATCATCAAATCATATGTGAATGCCAAATGTGTGATTTTCAGGTACCCACACTTCGGATGATAATAAAAATCAAGTTGCTAGTTACAACCTTCAATGATCTTGAGAGATACTCGAGACAAATCACAAATAAAAATGGTGATAATGGATCTTGAGAGATACTCGAGACACTTCATGAGATTTTGATCCAATTAAATCTCACCATATAATCTGTTGATAAACCATTATGTAAGTTATCATATACATGTAGCACAATTCTTTTTTCTTGGCCTTTTCCCTTTCTATTTTCTTTTTCAAGTTGAAATTATTTATATTTTATCCATTTTTTTCATTACAATGCTTTTTAGTATGTCATGGACATACCACTTAAATAGTCAAATTCGACAGAAACGGTCCAAAATGACTACAAATTCAGCTAAATTGAAAGGTTGAGCACCAAAATGCTTCACCTCAAAGATCAAAGGCCACATTTCTAAAAAACACTTATATAGATTGGGGACCAATATTACAATATTTCTTATTGCTACTTGGTCCTTATTTTCTAATGGTAAAATCGTAAATAACCAACCAATGCAGTGCATATTAAAGGTACCCAAACCCTAATTTCACCCCCTCAAACTCGTCGCATCCATATCTTCTCAACTCTGTTGCACCCAAACCTACATAGCCTCTTCTAGGGTCTAGATTTCCCCGTCACGCAGAAACATAACTCCACCTGAAAACATGGCGCCGTCAACCCAGTCCGTACAGTGTTTCGGCAGGAAGAAAACCGCCGTCGCCGTGACCCACTGCAAGAGCGGCCGAGGTTTGATCAAAATCAATGGAGTCCCAATCGAGCTGGTCCAGCCGGAGATCCTCCGCTACAAGGCGTTCGAGCCCATTCTTCTTCTCGGCCGCCACCGCTTTGCTGGAGTCGACATGCGCATCCGCGTCAAGGGTGGTGGTCACACCTCCCAAATCTACGCAATCCGTCAGTCCATTGCTAAGGCCCTTGTCGCGTTCTACCAGAAGTACGTTGACGAACAGTCAAAAAAGGAGATCAAGGATATTTTGGTGAGGTACGATAGGACCCTTCTGGTGGCTGATCCTAGGCGCTGCGAGCCGAAGAAGTTTGGTGGTCGTGGTGCTCGTGCTAGATTCCAGAAGTCGTACCGTTGAAATATCGGTAGTGTCACTGCTTTTGTTATTGATATTATTATTAGTAGTATGTTTATGTTTGATTCACGGAATTTTCTGTTATGTTTTGGATAATTGTTTTCCTTTTTGTTTTGTTGTTAAAGAGCATTTTGAGTCATTGGAATTGTTTTGTTTCGGCTTATGATGTTCTGGTTTCATTTTTAAGTGCTGTTATTTTTGATTTGCGATTCTATTGCTTGTTCTTTTATGGATAATTTGTGTTATGTCCTGTTTGGTGTTGAAGGATTGAGGGAGATATTGCTGAGGCTTTAGTTTTGATTAATTAGCACCTTACATTTCTATATTAAGGGGGTGTTTGGAGGGGATTAACATTAGATTTTTAGTTTGAAAAGCTGTGGGACCATGAAATATATGGTTAATATTGATTGTTTGACTTTGACTTAGATTAAAATTTGATTTTAATTTGTATGAAACAAGCTCTAAAGTCTTTTATGGATAATTTGTTATGTCCTCTTAAGATAAATTTTGAGATTTTATTTTAGTACTTTTTGCTTAAAAGTTAGTACAATGGAGACTTTATAAAAGTTGCTAAAAGTCATTAAAATTTGAATACTCCAAGACCGAGACTTTTAAAAAGTTTTAATCGAATACAACGTGACTTTTATAGACTTTTTAAATGTCTTTAAAATCTCTACTGAATATACCAATACTTTTAAGGAGTCTCCAAAAGTTTACATTGAATACCCCTGAACTTTTTAATTCCTAAAAAGTCATTAAAAGTCTCAATTGAATACACTTCCTTAAAAAATTCCAATTGTCGCATAAGAAACATTCCTACAAAAAAGAAGAAGAAATATTTAAAGAAAAAATTAATACATATTATGAGATAAACATTCCTACAAAAATAATGATTGAATTAGCAATAAATTAGATAAACGAACATTAATATATATTATGAGATAGCTGTATTACCTTCATCCAATTTGTTATATTCCTCTACACCCTCCATATAGAATATCTCCATGCCTGGAGAATCTTTGAGCCAATTTTGAGTGCACACCAAAACGTTCACAATCATAGGGTTTAAAAAACTACGAAAGGAATCAAGAATTCTTCCTCATCATTTATAGACTCTTGCCTACTAGATGCATATACACCCACTTTGACAGAATGCACAATTTGAATTGCCATTAATCTATAAGTTTCAATAACAAGTTGCAGTAATCTTTCTTATTGTTGGATAAATAATTTCTCAACCACAAAAATCCTGCAAACTCATATTTCTACTTCCAATGTTCAATCCTCACATCCCGCACCTCAGAAGAGGGGCATTTGTTGAGAATTAAATCCTCTCCTAATGATATAATCCTCATATATATACCCCAATAAAAATCTAAATGTTCTATACTGTAAATATAATGGTCACAAATCTATTCAATCACTATGAGTGCTATATTTTTCTCATCTGACTCCCTAATGATTTAAGGGCAATGTAATAAGGTCAGAAGTATTTGGAGATCAGATGGATTTTAACATCAACCATCAACATTTACTAACATCTGTCAATGTTCAACCGCACAAACTGAGAGTGAGATAGATAAAGACAATGTAATGATGTCCTAAAAAATTCTCAAATAAGTGATGAAAGATCTTTTTAAATTATAAAAAGATATGTAATGTTAAAAACATAATTGTTTAGTTCAACTGTTCAAGATCTACAATGGATTCCCAGAAAAAGCTACTACACACTTATCAAATGAACCACAAACTAAGATTTCAACTGAAATTCCAAAACACAAAAGCTAACAATCATCTAATCATAACCCTTGTAAAGCAAATGATATTACATATAATAAATATGTAAATCAAATACGAAGATTAAGATATACAGCTTTGTCCCTCAAGAATTTGGCTTGTTTCTTGGACTTGCATGAATTAAAACAATAAAACATGAAAATTGGCAACTAGGACACGGAGAAAGGCCAAGAGTTTAAAGCACAAAGAAAAATTTCATCTCATTTTCTTAGAAAATGAGAGTTTTCTAACAAATGGGACACAAGAAAATGCATATATAAATAAATACTAAGAAATGGATGGTTGAAGATTTAAAATAAACAATAATTTCAGAACAAATTGGAGTCAATCCCATGAATACATTACAAAGATACAAACTCAACATGAGCTTACTTGAATTCGGAGATCTGATCATCTGTTATCAGATCCACCTTCAGGAAGATCCGAGTTATCATTCTCCTCTTCCTTCTTGTTCTTGGATATATGTATAATCTGAGTGAAGTTTCTTGATTCAGTTTAGAATTGTCGAAGAGAAGGGATCGCAGGAGGCAAGGGAGGCTCAATTTTGAAG